AAGAGAAAAAAAAAAGATAAAGCCCACTGGATATTCCCTTTCATCTGTAGTTGGAACCAACACAACTGTGACAGTAGTCCACTTTATGCTTTAAATATAACCATCGCTACTTTGCAATTTATTTTTAAAATGAACATGTTTCTTTCTCTTCTTTCCCTAATCTCAGGAGAAGAAATTACCTTTCTTTCCCATCCTAGACAGAGTTTATCTGTCCTTGAGTACAAACCCACCATAGGAACGAAGTAATCCAGACTTTGGGGAAGATCTCAGAAAGATCTTTCCAGAAGATCTCAGAAAGGACTATCTCCTAAATAAATAAGTGAATGACAACACCAACAGAGAACTTATGGAATGGAGCCTTTGAGTCACTCTTTAAAAGCCCCCTGTTCCTGCTGATGAATAACAGCTTTGGGGACAGGAGTCCCCAGTGTTTCTCCTTTGTTAGCAAAGCAATAAACCTTCTTTTTCCTTTTTCTCAAAACCATGTATTCATTATTGGATTGGCATCGGGGACACAGACTGAGCTTTCAGCAACAAACATTGTAGCACCAAATTCTTGTAAATGCCCAACCAATATATGAATGGCTGGTGAGGCCTTCCTTTCTATTTCCCTCCCTCCTCAAAATTTTCATCTGAGTATTTGGTTTTGATCACCAGATGGAAGTTCGCAAGTAGATTCAAAATATCTAGACTACTTTACCTTTAGCTTCTGGCTCCTCTAATCTCTTCTTGCCTGCTAAGGGATTCCCAGGGCTATGGAACTTGGAGAAACCTCAAAATATTTCCCAATGCCCTGCATGCCCCCAGCTCCACCCAAAGTCTCTTGTGCCCAGTGAAGTCTGTTCTCTTTTAAAAGCCTCCTCCCAGTAAAGTTTTCCTTGTTAGAATCTGGAGTTCCCTCTTTATCTTAGAGGATTTTTACTAACTCTGGCAAGTAAATAGGCTCTCCATACTTGCTGTTGATAAGAATCAAGACGAGAGTAGTGCTATGAAGATACAGTTGTCTTTTCTATCAAATCTATTTTGATGAATAGTCTGACAGACTGAACAGAGGCCCCCTTGAAATTGTCCTTTTCCCCCTCCCCCGCCTTTTTGCCCTCATACCCCTCTCTAAACCTTTGGCTGACGAGAAGCCCAGCTAGATGTTAACTGCTAAACCTTTGCTTATATTCACAGAACCAAGATGATCTTTGCAACACAAGTCCTTAGTAACTAACTGCAGGGGCTGAAATCCATTGTGATGTCCTAAAGAAGACACTGGCCCTCACTGAGGAGCATCAGACTTCACCAGCCTGAAGCCTCACTACCTTCTCAACTCCCCCCACACAAAAAAAAACCTATGCAGCCCTGAGCTCAGGAAGATAGAGCCTTGAGGAGCTATCCCTTTTACTTTCTTCAGGGCTGGCTTGGAATAAACCCCATTCCTTCCTACCAACACTCATCTCCCTAACATTAGTACTTCAGCGTCAGGCAAACCAGACATCTGACTCCAGTAACATGACCATGAGTTCCTGAGTCCAGCTCCAAATTGGCTTCTTTTTCCATTTTATTATTGTGTTAAAATATTCATAACATAAAATTTACCACTTTGACCATTATTAAGTATATAGTATATAGTTCAGTGGTATAAGGGGTATTAGTTATATTCAAATGACTGTATAACTATCATAACCATCTAGCTGCATAATCCTTTCATCTTGCACAAGTAAAATTCTGTACCCATTAAGCAATTTATTAGACAATAAATCTCCACACACACCCTCAGTCCTTAGCAACCATGATTCCAACTGACTTTTGTCAACATATTTGACCTCACTCATATATCTTAGTAAAAAGAGGAGATTTTGTTGTCATTTCCATTGATAGATCTTTTAAATAATTTTCATGTAAGACTAAAATTGGACTCAGAGAGTCTTCTTTCCCTACATGACCCAGTGGTCTTATCATTCACTCATTCTTGTATGTCTCTGAACCCATCTTAAGATATTTTAATAGAATGTGGCTCTGCACAGTCTCTGCCAGGAATCCTCAGTGTTTTCTTCAACAAAGCAGAAGGAAGAAGCATAAGACAGGATAAGCCCCAAACCAGCTGAAATGATAATGGACAGGAAGCAGCTGACCAACTGAAGCTCAAGAAATAGAAAAGCTCCCAGTAAACCTGTTTGGCCTTTGAATTCAACAGCCTGCCAGATCTTTCCCACACACTGCTGTCTCCCATGGGAGTCAGAGTTCACTGAAAGGGGAAAGAGAAAAAATTGTGTGTATCATACATAACCAGCCCTCAAAAAATATCTGCTGAATTGAACTGAATGGAATTCATTCATAGGCTGCATCCCTGCTGAATTAGTCAGCTTTCCATCTCTATGACAAGATGCCTGAGAAAAACAATTTAAGAAAGAAAAGACTTATTTTGGATCACAATATTGTAAGGTCAGGCAACAGCAGCAACCAAAAAGGAGGCAGATTTAAAAGGCTGCTGAATGAGGCTTTATTGAGATTCCACTCCTGGAAGAGCAGATAGGAAGAGGGTCTGAGGAGAAACCGCATGAGGGCTCGACAGGACTGGAATTTTTATGGAGCTTACAGCAGGAAGGAAGGGCTTGGGACAGGAAAAAGGAGTTTTAGAGTTCCTTGTCCCACTGGAGTTGGTTGGGGAACTGGCTGAGATCCAGGATTGGCCAGGAGACCCTGTGGATTGATAGGTAGTTCCGTTGGTGCCTGATTGATGTTTCTTTCGCGCTCAAAGGCTGCTTGGTGCTTTGTTTCTAAGTCACTGCCATCCACCTGACAAGTATTATTTATTTATTTTTACCAATATTATTTGGTACTGAGGATTCAACCCAGGGGCACTCTACCACTGAGCTACATCCACAGACTATTTTATTTTGAGACAGGGTCTTGCTGAGTTGCTGAGGGTCTCACTAAGTTTCTGAGGCTTGCCATCCTTCTGCCTCCACCTCCTGAGTCACTGGGATTTCAGGCATGCACCACCATGCATGGCTTGGCTCACACCTGGCTTCATTGTTATGGGCATCATTCTGGAAAGGCAGAAAGAACATCATGGTGGAAAGGCATGGTGAAGCAAGCTGCCCACCTCATGGCAGTCAAGAAGCAATGATGATCAAGAGAGGAAGGGTGGGGAGAGAAAGGGTTCAGGAACAAGATATGCCCTTCAAAGGCATGACCCTAGTGACATACTTCCTCCAAACAGGTTCCACACCCTAAAGTTTCTCCCGCCTCCCAATGGCCTATTAAAGTATGAATCCATCACAACCTCCATTAAAGAGTTTAGTGCTCTCATGGTCTAATCACCTTCCAAACGCCACACCTTGGAACACCTGCTACCTTGGGAACAAGGCCTTCAGTACATGAACTTTTAGGGGGATGTTTCAGAACCAAACCATACTACCTACTCAGCATGGATCAAAATGCAAAGATCAGCTTCCTCACACCAACACTAAGTGGTGTTTGACGATGATATAGTGAGCACTTACCTTAAACCTAGCTCTTTGCTAAGCATTTTACAGTCAATACCTCATTTAAGCATCCCAACAGTGACAGCTCCAACATTGCTACATAGGAATGGCTTAGAAGTGATGTCTAACTGGAAGGGGCACTGGCTCATCATAAAGCTAACTTACACCGGACATGGTACCGCACACCTGTAATCTCAGCGGCTTGGGAGGCTAAGGCGGAAGGATCGCAAACTCAAAGCCAGCCTCAGCAATGGCAAGGTGTGACCCTGTCTCTAAATAAATACAAAATCAGGCTGGGGATGTGGCTCAGTGGTTGAGTGCCCCTGAGTCCAAGCCCCGGTACTCCTCCTTCAGAAAAAGAAAAGCTAATTTACATAGGCACTTTTACATAAGATTGAGGAAGTATCAATCATTTACATCAAAGAATGGAGGCTTGCCAATAAAGTGTGTGGGGGGGCTTCTCTCACAGGGGATCTTGGTGCTACCATGAAGTAGATTTTATCATTCCCATTGTACAGATGGAGAAACCCAGGCTTTCAGCAGTTGGTAAACTTGCTTCAAGTCACATAGCTAATGTCATAGAACATCTGTCTATCTGCCTCTGTAAGTGGATAGTTGTTTGGTCATATGCAAAATAAGTAAAAGAAATTTATAGATCTTATTTGAAAAAAAATAGTTTTTGTTTTATTGTTGTTTCTAAGGTTGAAGTCAGAAGAAAATGTAATTTTTTTTTAATATAGGTGAAATGAAGTGAATAGTACTGACCAACTTCTAGCAAAATGTCATGAAGAATAATAGTCTTGTGGCATAGAGCAAAACAAGTCTCATTCATCAAGTACAGTCCACTGCTGAAAAATCAAGGGTATTCCTCTATTCAAAAGGCCTAGATGGGCACGGCAGCACACGCCTGAATCCAAGCAGCTCAGGAGGCTGAGGCCGAAGGATCTCAAGTTCAAAGCCAGCCTAAAGCCAGCCTCAACAAAAGTGAGGCGCTAAGCAACTCAGTGACATCCTATCTCTAAATAAAATACAAAATAGGGCTGGAGATGTGGCTCAGTGGTCGAGTGCCCCTGAGTTAAATCCCCAGTACCCCCTCAAAAAAAAAGAAAAGAAAAAGAATATAGACAAATACAGTAGAACTGAATTATATTCCATAACTGGTTACTTCATAGCTTTGGATCAAATACATTCTTAAAAGTTCATGCATTAAAGAATAAAATTTAGGCACACATTCTAATATTTAAAGGGGTAGACACTGTCCACATCCTGGACAGGATGAAAGAATAAAGAAGAAGGAATCCAGCTGCTTCCTCCATACTTCGAGTTTTCCCCACATGCAGAGGCCAGGGTCACTGCCAACAGCAGCACTTCCCTTCTGTGCTGTGGTCTGCCACAGTGAGGGAGAAGCTGGTTACCAGGCCAGGGCTGTCTGTGCTTGCTATTTGGGCAGCTGCACCAGAGGAAGGAAGAAAGCTAGGTTCAGTGGGGGTTATGTGAAACCTGTTCCCCCCACTGCAAACACACCTCATCAGGTTGGTTCAGGTCCTTCAGGTGCAGGTCTTGAATAAGGTACTCCACAATGTGCACATTATTACTCTGAGCTGCAAAGTGAAGGGCATTCATTCCATCCTGAGGAGAGTGGGAGGGAAAAGATATGGCCTTGGAACTTCTCCCTCCTGCACAGGTGAGGTGAGAGCTCACATCCATGTGTGATCCACAGACCTACCTGGTTCTTGGCTCTCTGGTCTGCTCCAGCTCTAACCAGCATGAGCATGATCTCAAAGCTTCCAGTCCAGGCTGCAAGGTGAATTACAGTCAAGCCGTGCTTCCCCGAGAAGAGAGAAGAAAAGAGTCTATCACATGAATGAGCCATAGCCTACAATCTCAGTCAATAAAGGACTAGTTAATACCAGATAATTGAATATTAAGAAATGGAAAATTTAATATACAAAAAAATTTCAATTTTATGTGAAAAGTGGGTATATTTAATAAGCGATAGGCACAAATGATTCTGTATCCAAAAGAAATATATAAAATTAAATGTTTTTTTAAGAGAGAGAGAGAGAGAGAGAATTTAATATTTATTTATTTTTTTAGTTTTCGGCGGACACAACATCTTTGTTTGTATGTGGTGCTGAGGATCGAACCCAGGCCGCACGCATGCCAGGCGAGCGCACTACCGCTTGAGCCACATCCCCAGCCTCCCAAAATTAAATGTTATATTCACAAAAAATACATAAAAAAATAAATATATTAGGACAAAAGTTAGATTATAATATATACTCTCTTAACTCAGTTTTATAAAAAGGAAAAATAGAACATACATGAAGTCAATAAACAAATTACACTTAAGAATATATCCTTTATATATATTTTAGAATTAATTAGAAAAAATATAATTTTGTTCTAATATATTTATTTTTATGTATTTTTTGTGAATATAACATTTAATAAAGATAAATGGCAATTCTCTATTATATGAGGTACTCTCACAAATCAACAACGACAAAAAAGCCAGGTTTGGTGGTACAAGTTTATAATCCCTGCTACTTAGGAGGCTGAGGCAGGAGGATGGCAAGTTCAAGGCCAGCCTTGGAAACTTAGTGAGACCCTGTATAAAGGGCTGGGGATATAGCTCACTGGTAGAGCACACTTGAGTTCAATACCCAATACCACCAAATAATAATAACAAAATAAAACAACAAGAAAAAAAAACAGAAAAATGCGCACAGGTGCTCTCTTGAGGTGTTAGAGGAAATAGATACCATTATTGTCTAACAATCTAGCACTATAAATTTAAAATGCAACCAGCAATCCTATTCTTGGGAAATTATACTATGAAAATAAAATTTCAGGACCTAATGTTAAATATATGAACATATTGTTAGCTCTGAAAATTGGAAACAAGGTACATGTTCATCAATAGGGGAATGTTAATAAATTATGAAATAGTTACATTATGCAACCATTAAAATAATGAATTAGCTCTATAACAATAGATTTCTATAAGCTTTGTTAAATATGGGAAAAAAACATAAGACAAAATATAATCCCATTTTATATAAATGATACAGTGAACAAAACCCCCCTACGTGTAAGTGTATATCTATATCTATTTATAGGTGGGTTGGTAGCAGGTAGAGATATTGACATAGATATGATCACATGTGCATGGAGATAAGTACAGAAATGAACACACACCTATCTCAGAAACAAACAAACACCTAGTGATTGTTGAGTACAGGGGGATGGTACACAAAGATAAGAAAATTGAAAAAGACAAGTTATATAGGGTTCCCATTTATATAGAATCTATCTAAAAGGACTCTGTTTACACAAAATTATATAGATGTGTGCATAGTATGTGTTTAGGCTGAAATAGAGATTTGGCTCAGGACTTACTGACCTGTCAGTTCTGGGCAATTGTATGTAAGTAATATACTGAATTAGGAGAAAGAAAAGTGTGGAAGGAAGCAGCCAGTTGTCAACATTGGCTATCTCAGGACAGTGGGCTTAGAGGCAAGTAAACTGAGAAAACCTCATCTGCACCTTCAGTGTCAGGTTACTAAGCAATAAACAATAGTCTTTATGATCAAGTGGAACTGACCCCAAACTCTGGTCACTTTCTACCACTTTCAAGTACTGTGATGTTAGTTAACTCAGTTAACTCTCAGCTTCACATTCCTTATCTTTTTTTTTAAGAGAGAGAGAGAGAGAGAGAGAGAGAGAGAGAGAATTTTTTAATATTTATTTTTTAGTTTTCAGCAGACACATCTTTATTTTTATGTGGTGTGAGGATCGAACCCAGTGACAAGCGCATGCCAGGCAAGTGCGCTACCGCTTGAGTCACATCCCCAGCCCTCATGTTCCTTATCTTAAAGTTCATGTGTCTCCTTTTCTTTTTCCTTTATTCTCATCAAAACCTAAGCCATTACCTCTGCACAACTGCCTGCCAAAGGCAAGCCCTCTCCCTACATCTCATTTGTCCTCCAAATTGGTTGTGCTTGTAATCCAGGATACCCGTTTGTTAGATGCACACAGCAGGAGTAAATAAACAAGGAATGAAGGTCTTCAGGGCACTCCCTATCATATCCTCTACTGAGGTCTTGAACATGCTAGACAAGTTCTGCCACTGAGTTACATCTCCAATCCTTTTGCCGCAGTCTGGCTGGGCACAAAATAACCGAGCCGCCACACAGCTTTGTAGGTTCAAAACAGGAACTCCTTTATTCTCCGCAATAATCACATTCATGTATTCACTTATTCTCAGCAGAGCTCAAGTTGGGAGAGTGAAATAGCAAATCCCATATTATCGAGTTACAAATTTTAAATCAATGTTCCAGAGAATATTTTTAAGTGTCTCAAGACATTTTGCATAGTAATGACTGAGGGGTACTATGGGCACTTAGTACGTAGAGGCCACGGATGCTGCTAAACATCCTACAATGCACAAGAAAAACCTCACAACAAATAATTATCTGGCCCCAGATGTCAATAGTGCCACTGTTAACAAACCCCGCTCTAAATGTACATATGTTATTAAATTTTCATTTTAGCTGTCACACTACACAGTGAGTCGGTCCATTTAAATATTTAAAATTCCAGAGTTTTCTTCAAATTCTTCACAACTTCTTCACTCTTTTACAAGGAACATTGATATATGACCTCTAGGTAAGGTTCTTTAAAAAATGTATTCTAACCACAGTTCCACCTCTTGATTTAGGCTTCCCTACAAATCAGTGCTCCATATTCAGTACTTCCAAATTTGGTTTTACATACGGTCATAAAAGACCAGAAATATTTGGACAGGTGATAAACTATATTTTAATAGGAGCTCTATTTCTTCCCTAAGAGGTCATTCCTAATCTTGAACAGCCAACATTTAAAAATTCCAAGTGCTGATTATAAAATCTAAAAGCTGGGAATGGAATCTCTGAAACCACAAATTCTGAGTGGAGCCATTGTTCCTCTGAGGCAATGAATCACTACACAGAGACGTAAATTCCCACAGAAGAACTTTCCTAAAACAAAGTCTTCGGCTATGCAACTGGCATGCTTAAGAGTATGTGTCATGAATTACACTCACAGTTGCCTCACATGCTCTGGAAAGTACAAAATGCCAGTCACTGACAAGTTATCTGCATTACCAGTCTGGTCATAGGTGAGGTTAGTAATTTCCTCTGGGGAACACTTAAACTTTAAGAGCTTCCCAGAGAAGCAACTCAGAAAGCAGATGCTAGTCATCTTCTAAGCACCTTAGGCCTCCCTTTATCTGGTCTGTCGCTTCTCAAAACTTGGGGATGCTACCCACTTTGACTCTGGAGGTCCTCAGTGATGGGGTCATGCATTTGACCCTAAGCATGCAATACCTTGCATAGTACTCATATATTATAGTCTCTGTCCTTGCTCCCCAGATAGATAACAGGAGACTCAAAACCAGGACTATATCTCATACCAGATACAATCATCTGGGGATCTTTTTCCCCTCTTTTGGTATTGGGGATTGATCCCAGGGTGCCTTAGCACTGAGCCACATCTCCAGTTCTTTTTCAATTTTTTTACTTTGAGACAGGTTCTTTCTAAGTTTCTGAGAGTCTCACTAAATTGCTGAGGCTGGCCTTTGATTTGCAATCTTCCTGCCTCAGTCTCCTGAGTCAGTGGGATTACAGACATCACCACTGCACCTGGCATTGGGTAATCTTTTTAAATTAGGGATTCTGATTCAGAAGATCTGGCTTGGGACCTGAAATTCCTCATTTCTAACATTCCCAGGTGGTGGCCATGCTTCTGGTTGAATCCCCAGTAACTGGCATTAAGACTTATGATAGACACTGAATATACATTGAAGGTGAAGGGTTTCAATTGTTAGTTCTTTGCAAATGGGTGTTGAAACTTTGAAGACAGATCAGCCAAATCAAATTGGGGGCTTATCACTCAGATAAGACAGTTGCCAGAAATGACAAAACCACGGTAGTACTTGCATTATGATGATAAATATTTTATCAGTTATGTACCAACATCTCTGTGAATGATAAAATTCATTACAAAAATCTTTGGTGAAATTTCTAAGGCTGGCACCAGAGATGCATAAGGAATTTCCCATCTGATAGCATTTCAATTTACAAGGCAACATTGATAGAAGCTGATGTTAATTAGAGACATGCTTCAGATATGGGGTAACACAAATATATGCTTAGAAAGCCTTGAAAAGAACAAGTTGGTAAAAACATCTCTCCATCATTTCAGGAATAATTTGCTTACACTCTGACATAAGCCAAACCTGAATTTAATACATGTGAAATTTGACAATCCTCAGCTATGCTAGCTTGGAGAAAAGATGCATTCAATCCAGGCCATGGATTCACGGGTGTTTGTTGTATGATTTTGTCTACTTTAATATCAGGTTGAAGATTTTGGGTTATGGTTATGGTTAAAATAGAGCAAATGCACTCCACCCTGTCTCTCCTACCAAATGCAACTAAAGACTCTGAATAATATTCAGCTATCTGAAGACTCTGAAAAGTAAATGGTTGCAGGTAGCTTAGGAAAGGAAACCAGAACTCAAGATTTTTGAGTTTATCTTCTTCCTTCCATATCTTCCAACTTGGATTTGAGGCAGCACCAACCACGAAACTATACAAGGACAGAAAGAGTTCCAAAAGAAGCCCTTCTTTCTAGTCTAAGGAGCAGAGGGAGCCTCTAATGAATAAACAAGGTGGGGAAAATTCTTTGCTTCTTTGTACTTTTCTGGTCCTGCAAGCTCTGGGAGGCTGAGAAATGTGGGGGAGATGATCATGGAGAGGAAAAAGCTGATGAACTCTAGACAGGGCAAAGGGGTGGAATGGGAAGGGAGGGGGCATGGGAGTAAAAAAAAAATGGTGGAATGAGATGGACATCATTACCCTAAGTACATGTATAGAGACAAGAATGGTATGAATATACTTTGTATATAACCAGAGATGAAAAATTGTACTCTATATGTGTAATATGAATTGTAATGTATTCTGCTGTCATGTATAACAAATTAGAATAAAAATTTTTAAAAAAGAAAAAGAAAAGAAAAGAATCCCATGAGGTTGGGTATACACTCCTGGGCTTGCTCCTGAACTGTACATGGATGAACTCTTAACATTAGACAAAGACTTAAAGAACTGATTTATGTGTTGACCACTGCCAGTATCAGACTGGTTCCTGGGACATATCTGAACAGAACTAAAAAGGTTTTTAAAAATGAAATGACTTTTAAAAAGTGATTGTTGATGTGCAAAAAGAAAGAAAAAAATCACAACCTATTTCTACCCTGAACTAAAATTAATTCAGAATGAACCATTGTCTTAGTCTGTTTTGTGTTGCTATAACAGAATATCACAGACTGGGTAATTATAATGAATAGAAATATATTTGACTCATGGTTCTGAAGGCTGGGAAGCCCAAGATGGATGGACCTATCTGGTGAGGGCCTACTAGCTACATCATAAAGTAGAAGAAGGCATTACATGAATGAGGGGAGGTGGGGTAGATGGTCCAAATTTGTTCTTTTATTCAGAATGCTCTCCTGAGATAACAGCATTAATTCATTCATGAGGGCAGAGCCCTATGCACTAATGAACTTCCAATATTGTTGCATTGTGGAATAGATTTCCAACATATAAACTTTGAAGGACACAGCAACTATAGATCTAAATGTAAAATACGAGGGCTGGGATTGTGAGCGCTCGCCTAGCATGGGCAGGACCCGGGTTCGATACTCAGCACCACATAAAAATAAAGGCATTGTGTTGTGTCCATCTACACCTAAAATAAATAAATAAATAAATGAAAATAAAATACAAGACTGTAAAATTTTTTTTAAAAAATGAGAAAATCTTAATAACCTTAACTTAGGCAAATCATCTTTACATATAACTCCAATATCAGGATTCATTTTTAAAAATAGGTACATTGTATTTCATCAAAATTAAAAAAATTTGCTCTGGGAAAAACACTGAAAACACAAGCTATAGAGTGATAAGATAATGCAAATCACATACCTAACAAAGGATTGGTATGCTACAAGAAATATTTGTTCAGATTCATTTCATACAAGGCAAGAATGATCCATCCACAAACCCCACTGGACTCCCCAAGTTTGGTTGTCCTAGGTTAAATGGTTCACCTGTTTATAATATATATTTTTATAAAATTCCACAATAAGAAAACAATTTGATTTTTAGAAATGTTCAAAAGATCTGGCTGGAAATGTTGCTCAGTGGTAGTGCTTATTTGGCCCTGGGTCCCCACCCCCCAGCACCACAGGTGGAAGACAATCTGAACAGGCTTCCCCAAGGAAGATATGAAAATGGCAAATAACATATGAAAGATGCCACATACCATTAGCCACTAGAGAAATGCAAATTAAAACTGCAATGAGATGCCTACATAACTGTGAGAGTTACTAAAAATTAAGGCGGGGGGATGGCAATTCCAATGAGGATGTAGAATAAGTGAAACTCTTCTGCCTGGCTGGTGAGAATGAAAATGGCACAGCCAACCTAATGAATAGGCTGGAAGCTCCTTGTTAAGTTATGCATATACATAGTACTTAGCCCAATAGTCTCACTCTTGGGTATTTATATTAGAGAAATGAAAACCTAGGCATAAACAAATTCTTATACATGAATACCTGTAGCAGCATTAATTATAATAGCTAAAAACTAGAAATAACCCTAATGTCCTCCAAATGGTGAGTGGATAAACCTCTGCCATATCCTTAAACTGGAATAATATTTAGCAATAAAAAGGAGGAGTTCTTGACACATGCAACAATATGAACGAACTTCAGTTATTTTACAAAATGAAAGAAGCTGGTTTAAAAGGTAATATACTATACGATATCATTTATGTGACATTCTCAAGAGCATATCCTTAAGAGTGGTTTGGCTACAAAGAGGCAGCATGAGGGAAATTTATGGATGTTGCAACTGTCTGAATTTTTTGTGGTGCTGGGGATTGAAGCCAGGGCCTTGTGCATGTTCATCACATTCTACCACTGAACTACATGCCCAGCCACTTTGACCTTCAGATTGATTGTGGTGGTTACATGAATCTGTACACGTATTAAAATTTATAGAACTGTACACTAAAAAGAAAGCTAATTGTACAGCATGCTAATTTTAAAATTAAAGTAAAATAAAAATATTATATCATATTTTCAATGACTGATCTATTACCAATGCATCATTTGCAGGTTAAGTAATATGCAAAATAATCAAATTACAATTTCTAGACTGAAGGACACATCTCTTAGTTACCATAGCCACTAATACAAGTAAACATATTTGCAAAGTCAGAGTGCTTTCAGTGGTAATTTTTAATTCTGATTTTCTTACATAGCAATCAACTTGCCCACCAATATCATAGCAATAAACTAGAGAGGGATGTGCCCCACTGGTGACACAAAGAGAAACTCCCACCATCATCAAGTCTACATCTTGTGTATGATGATTAACAAAAACCAACTAACTGGTACATCTGACTCCATTTATCTTCCAAACATTTACTAAGCACACATAAAGTCAATATGGGAAAATAAGTAAAGCCCACACACAACCCCTGTGAGATATGAAGGTAAAGCCATGCTGAGCCTTACCCTCTAGGGAGTCCCAGACTAGAGAACATAAAATAGCTCTGGGAGATTCTTCTGAACAGTTTAAATTTAAGAACCATGGTCCACGGAATTAATTAAGATTAAAGAATTTTCAAATAGTCTATCATATTCTTCCATAATTAGAGATGCTAAACATAATATTGAGTCTCTATAGCTGATTTCCTTATGCCCTGATAAAGCATTAAACGAAGGTGAAAATCCTCAGGGTGGGTTTTGAAATCTAGGCAGACAAGTAGTTAAGCTGACTTGTAGCTAACAGCATGGTCTCTGAGATCAGACAAATTGGGTTTAAATCCTGCCTTCACTCCTTCTCAGGTATAATTTTGGGGGGCAAGATATTTAATCTGTGTCTCAGTCTCCTCACCTGTAAATTGAGTATTACAACACTTTTATCATAAGGTTCACTAGGAAGCAGCATTAAATACTAAAGTCCTACTACTTTGTGCCTGGTACATAGTATGTATTTAGTAAGTTTTATTTATCATCAGAGTCCAAAGGGTAAAATCTAGATTTATTTTCCTGGGGCCAGTTAGTTTCTGTCTTCCAAGTGCCAGATTATGCTCTAGACAATTATCATACTCTTGCAAATGCATGCTATTGGCCATAAAGTCAATATGGGAAAATAAGTAAAGCCCAAGTCCTTGAGATAATGGTAAACAATTTAATCATCAAATACAAAGATCTCTTCAAAATGTGTTAATGGAAATACTTTGTGGGCATGAAAGATGATCAGATTGGAGTGATCAGATTCTCCTTATACACTGGTTATACTATAATTCATTCTGCCAATGGAAGACGAACTTACCTTATCAGCAATGTCAACCCTGGCCTTGTGATTCAGTAAGAAATCCACCGCAGATAAATGATTTGCCCCCACTGCAAAATGCAAGGCTGTGCGGTTCATCTGAGGAAACATAATTTGTGTTCTTGGTCATCTGATCATTATTTAACTTTTTTTCTGGATTCCTGTTTCTTGAATGGCTGTAATTTTCTGTTGAGTATTTGGATATTTAGCTCCACTTTTTGCTACAAAAGTTATAAGAACTGTGTTCAGAAAACTCCTGTTATCTATTATTAGATGATAGAGAATTTGGCAATCCCCTGAAGGATACACCAATATAACAGATTGCATTTTAACAGTAAAAGTTGTATTTTTCCTTGTATGCAATCATTAATAATGAGATTTTTTTTTCTGCTGAGAATATGTTAGTCAGATTTCCATCACTGCAACAAAATATCTGAGATAACTTATAAAAAGGAAAGATTTATTTTGGCTTATGGTTTCAACCCATGGCCACTTGGCTTCATTGTTTTTGGGTCCAATGGGAGGAAGAACATCATGGCAGGGAGTACATGGTGGAACAAAGGTACTCATTTGAAGATGGCCCAGAAGCAAAGATAGAGAGAAATGGCAAAACTGGCATACTCCCAGTGACTTAACTTCCTTCCAGTAGGACACATCTCTTACTCTTCTTTTTCATTAGTGCATTGTGATTACACACAATAGTGGAATTTGTTGTTATATACTTGCATGTGCATACATTATAACAATATAATTTGGTCAATTTCATTCCTCTGTGCCTCCCCTCTTCCATCCCATGGACCCTTTCCTCTACACTACTTGTCTCCTATTTTCATGAGGTCTCTCCCCACCTTTTCTTTTTTCTATTTTTTCTTTTTGCCCTCGAGCTTCCACATATAAGCAAAAACATATGACCCTTGACATTCTAAGTTTGGTTTATTTTGTTTAACATAATGTTCTCAAGTTCCACCCATTTTCTTGCAAATGACATAATTTCATTCTCCTATATGGCTGAGTAAAACTAATGTTTACTGTAATCCCAGCGGTTTGGGAAGTTGAAGCAGAAGGCTCTTAAGTTCAAAGCCAGTCTCAGCAACTTAGTGAGGCGTTGAGCAACTTAGCAAAACCCCATCTCAAAATACAAAATAAAAAACAGGGCTGGAGATGTGGCTCAGTGGTTAAGCACCCTGGGGGTTCAATCCCTGGTTAAAAAAGAAAAGAAGGAAGAGGAGAAAGAGGGAGAGGAGAAGGAGGAAGAGGAGAAGGAGAAGGAAAAGAAGGAGAAAAAGGAGAAGGATATGAGGTATCAGTACCCCGACAGGGCAGGTTCCTGTTCAGGACATGTGAGCCGCCTGGGAAATAAAAAGCCTGAAATGGTCTGTAAGAAATAAAGACAGAGCCAGAAATTAGATATAAAAAAGAAGAGTTTCTGATGGGTCTTCCAGTCCTGATGGGAGCTGGAACTGAACAAGGCCCTGATTCTTTATTTAAGGGGGAGTACATAAAAGGCAGGGAGAAGGTTTCAGAGGGAGGAGTCTTGGTTCAGTGCTTGCTGCTAGCCAGGGCAGGGGTATAGCAGTAAACAGATTGATTGGCATTTGGCAAGCCACACCCATCTCCAGGAGGCTCTGTGGCTTCAGCAAGTCATTCCCATCTCTGGGGCTATGCTAGAACTTGAGCGGTGCACTAGAACAGGGTGCCAACCTGAAGTAGGCTTTCTCAAACCAGGGAGTTCCACCTGGGAGTTCCTACAAATTGGCTTCCCTGCCTAATAGCTTCAACATTGTTCGGTTCACACATGGCTCAGTTCACATATGGGTCATGAATGGCTTCCAGCAGTAGAAGGAGAAGAAGAAAGGCCTGGACAAGTAAGGGCCTAGAAACTTATTCTTCATTGAGCTCCAATAATTGTCTTAAGCAATTGATATAGCCCCCAACCTGTTTGTTTTTGATATATATTGGATTGAGAGGCTGTCAAGAAATCTTCATAAAAGTAAGCTATAGGGAAACCATGCTTCTGACAGTGGACTTCTATCCCCAAACCTAGGCGCTTCAAGAATAAGCAAGGAAGAGCAGGTTTTCAGAAAAGGTCTCATTGCCCAATATGTCAATGCTCTATATTTCAAAAGCAGTATAATAAAAATCCACATACTCCTTTGGATTTTAAACTGGAAACCCAACCACAAAGGACCTTGCTGAAGAGAAACAACCCAGACTGTGTAACAAAAGATGTTCTGCCTTTGTAAAATGTGAGGTCAAAATGATCCACAGGGAACCGTCTAGGACCAAATCCAGGCCCATAACCCTGATAGTGGGTTCCACTGCCTACCCAAAGACTTTGCACAGATGTGCATAAAGACTCTGTGCATTCCTCCTCTCATAAGATCATAAAACATCGAGAGCCTTTTCTACTGCTTGATTTTACCTTTAGCTTAAATACTTTGGAATTCCCAACAAAGGATAGCTCCCAAATCTCAGCCAGCCTAATCTTTTAAATTTTTATTATTATTTCATCTGACCTGTGTAAACCCAAGCCACCACTTAGAATAATCACTTGTCATATTTGTGACTTCTACTCACATTGTTCACAGCATTAATGTTAACCTTCTTTTCAAACAGCTTTTCCATAAGATCCAAATTATTGCTTTTAGCAGCATTCTGAAAGTTTCTCTCTTTTGGCAGTACTGAAAGAAAGCAAGCAAGCATGACCAAGGGAATTGAAGGAGGCCACAGAGAAATCACATGTCATGTGGCAAAGCTTATAACTCTAAACACTTGAAATAACAGCTTGAGTTTTTCACATTCTGCTTTTTAGGAAATGGAAACTTTATTTCAGTATTTTATGAAGTTGTAGTTTCAAGACTCCACCTTCTCCTCATACTGTGTTTACACAGCCTTGTCATTGTTCCTGGCCTCAAAGAAAACATTATTCATGAGGACCACCCTGAAGTCAGTAATGTGATATGTGGCTTAGGAGCTCACAGGGTGGCCACAGACTTCCAATGGGACATCATTTGTAAAATGTTTGTAGAACATTAGATGGGGAGGAGTCCAAATGCTCTTATAGCTTACAAAGATGAAACTGTTGTCTGCAGAATTCTGTATAGATGCCTGATCTCAGGAACAAAACCTTAAAATGTAGCCCATTATATAAAGATACACAAAGGCTAGCATGAATGAATGCATTTTGTTCTCATTTATATGAAAGGACATAAAGTAGATTCACACCTATTGTAAACATTACATATCACATACATACACATTCAGATGGTAGGATTTATTAACTAGTACAGAGAAAATTCTGGGATTTTTTTTTTTTTTTTTTTGGTTGTTGTTGTTGAGGTTTTTGTCATGGTGGGGAGCTACAGGACTCTGAATGGAAAGCCCCAAACCTGGGGGATAAAATCAGAGTTGAGTTAATCAGAACCAATAATAGACCATCTCAAAAAAAAAAAAAAAGAGAAAGAGAGAGAGAGAGACCCTTCAGAACACTGCCAAGTCTACTCAAAGGCCAAGGAATATCTTCATGGAAGATACTATTTTGGGTTGAACTGTGTCCTTCCAAAATTCCTGTGTTAGAACCCTGACTCCTAGTACTTCAGTATGTGGCTGTAATTGGAGATGAAGCCTTTAAAGAGGTAATAAATATAAAATGAGGCTACACAGGTGGGTTCTAACCTGATCTGACTGATGTCCCTATAATAAGAGATGATTGGGACACAGACACACATAGAGGTAAGATCATCAAAAGACAGGGAGAAGGAGGCAATCTACAAGTCGAGAGGAGGCCTGAGAGGAAACCAACCTGCTGACACAGTGATCTTTGACTTCTAGTCTCCAAATGTGTAAGAAAATAAACTTCCGAAGTTTAAACTGCCAGTCTATGGTACTTTGTCACTTTGAGTATAGATTTACGTGTTCGTTCTTTCTATCACTGATCACTCACTTGCTTCCTTATCCCTACTCTATTCATTTTACTAGACAACTTCAACATCCTTATAGATGACTAGTCCAACACCCTGGCCACTTAGTCCCCAAACTAAGTTCCTTACCTCTCCCATCCGACCTCAAGCATCAAATTTCAGGGACACACTCTTGACCTAATCATCAAACTATACTACCTTTGATATCTTCACTTCAAGAATCCCATTCTCTGACCACTATTTCTCTTCCATTCACTCACCTGCTACAATTCATCAAGTCCAGAAATTCTGCAACCTAATCAAGTCCTCCTAGCTACTGTTTCTACCATTTGTTCATATTATTCATCACCAGGTCCTTCCTTCTTTCCTTATTCTGTTTAGATTTCATGATATCTGTCTATTTCTGTCACTATAACAAAATATCTGAGACTGGGCGATTTATAAAGAACAGAAATTTATTTCTCACAGTTCTATAGACAGAAAAGTCCAAGACCCAAGGTGCCAGCAGATTCAGTTGTCAGATGAGGGCTGCTCTCTGCTTCTAAGATGGCACCTGTTGTAAATGCTATGTCCTCACATAGCAGAAGGTAGAAAGGCAAAAAGGGATGAACTCTCTCTGTCAAGTCTTTTGCTTTATTCATTTTTTTATTTTTTGTTTTTTGATATTCATGACAGTAGTGTGTATTTTGACATATTATACATACCTGGAGTGCAACCCGTTACAATTTTGATCTCATTCTTATGGTTGTACATGATATGGAGTTACACTGGTCATGTATTCATATATGAGCATAGAAAAGTTACATCTGATTCATTCTACTGTCTTTCCTTTTCTCATCTCCCCTCCCTTCTGTTCATTCCCATTGTCTAATCCACTGAGTTTCTATACTTCCTCTCCCTACCTCCCTTACTATGGGATAGCATCCACATATCAGAGAGAACATTCAACCCTCCCTGAGTTCACATTCCTTCATTTTCAACTTGGAAAATTTTCAACACTTCTTGGAAGTGTTGTCTAATTGCTCTCTCAATTTATTTATCTCACAATCTCATCTAAGGTAATCATTTTTCCCCCCTCCACTCCACTGAAATTGCTCTTATGAAGTCACTCCATCTTGCCAAAATCCAATCACGACTTCTCTATCAAGTACACTGAACCCTTGGCTGACGTTGACACCAAAGACCACAGTCTCCTTGTAACATGTTTTCTCCTGTCAAACTACTTGTTGAATTCCAGTTACTGGCTCTTCCTCCTCTGCTTTACCTACAAATGTTGGAATGTGATAAGTTTTTTATACAATAAATGATCTGATGGACTAGAAACTTTCATCCCCATCTTACAGATGAAGTTTTCAAACAGATTTAAACATTAAGTCACTTGCCCATGTCTTAAAGATAATTAGTGTTTAAACTGTCCCAGGAAATCAGAATCAAATTCCCAAGCTTTCAAACACCCCACATGTCCAGGGTATGAGTCTGGGGGGAGACTGCTGAATTGGAGAATCAGATCACCCACTGTCTGTCGTATGCTTTAGCTAATGCACTCTGCCAGCTAGGCTGGACTTCTCTTAGTTCCCTCTCCTGGTTCCCACACAGCTCTGGCCTTAGCTCTTTGCCCCTGTGTATTAAAATAATGGGGCACAAGTTCAACTTCCAGGTCCTTGTTCCTCTTTGGTATGATCCAAAGCAAATGAAGACATTATTGTGTCCTGAAATATGACACACGGATTCTATTCTCTTTTGTACCTGAAATGGAATATCTTTTTCCTTTTCTACCACAATCTATAAGAAAAACAAATTTTAGATTGCTTCCTAAAACAGTAGGGAGCACCATAAAAGACTCTTGATTCATTAACTCAATAGTTCTCAGCTCTGGCTTCACAAAAGAAAATAACAAGAAATGTATATCAGGTTCTCAGCCCAAGCCAATTACATCAGAACCTTTGGGAGCTCAAGATGTTCAAAATGCCTTGTTCACAATTTACTAATTATGTAATCTTGTAACAATTCTGAATTTTAGTATCCTAATTTATGAAATGAGGATCATAAAACCTACTTTCGGGGTATGCAGGAGCTAGCTTCTACAGATTTAAAAGAATTGATTGCATATTCCCAATTCTGTGTTCAGCGATATCATATTGTACGTTGAATCAGGTGGGTTGAAGTATTACACAAAGGAAATTGGAAAGTGCTACAAAAGGACTTCTCCCTTTTCAAGCCCAGAGAGCTGATAGTCAAACATTTACCAGCACACCACTGATAACCTTCAGCTAATAGGTGACAGAGTTGGAAAAATGACCCAGCCATCATAAACATACCAATTTTTCAGCTTAGCTACTTAATATTTGTAGGGATATCTTACAATATGTGCTTTTTCAGTTGCAATGTATAACATCAAGGAAAGGTTAAATGATCATTTAATCCTTTGGAGGTCAAAACTCCAATGTCTTCAGGAGCTGGGCAAGTATGAGGACAGAGGGTCAGGAGAGGAGAGGGTCCTTGCTGAACTACAAAACAAGTTGAGGCTCCCTCCCTCATTTCATTCAGGCCCCTACTCAAATGATACTCTCTGTGAAAACTCATATCTGACCATACAATCCTCTTTCTCCTGTCACTCACTCTCTACCCCATGCCCTACTTCATTTTCTTCATATCACTTAACATTAGTTGACATCATGTTTGTTCACTTGTTCATTGTTTTGTTTCTTTCTCCAGAATACAAATTTCGTGAGAAAGTACTTAGTGCTAGTAGGTGTTCAATAAATATTTGTTGGATGGATGAGAGGGTGAGTGGTGGGTGTATGGTTTAGGTAAATACTACCCAATTCCAGAAGAATATTGCTTGCTAGGGAATGTAGGCCTCACATTATCAAATCTTTTCTTTTTTTTTTTAAATTTTTTAAAAAATATTTATTTATTTATTTTAGTTTTCGGTGGACACAACATCTTTGTTTGTATGTGGTGTTGAGGATCGAACCCGGGCCGCACGCATGCCAGGCGAGTGTGCTACCGCTTGAGCCACATCCCCAGCCCCTCAAATCTTTTCTTCTTCTTCTTCTTCTTGTTTTTCAATTGAACCATGGATTAAAAAAAAAATTCCCAAGGGAAATTAGAAACTATTTTGAACTGAATGAAAATTAAATAAAATATGTCAAAATGTGTGGGATGCAGTTAAAGTAGAACTTAGAGGGAAATTTATAGCATTAACATGATTGTGTTAGAAAAAAAGTAAGTAAATTAACACCTTAAGAAAGTAAAAGGAGAAGGGCAAAATAAACACCTAAAGCAAGCAGAAAGAAGAAATGTAACAAAGGTAAAATATGAGGACAGAGGGTCAAAGCAATAATCAATGGAATTGAAAACAGAAAAATAATAAACAATAATCAAGGAAAACAAAAGATAGTTATTTGAAAACATCAATGAACCAATAAGCACCTATCCAGACTGACCAAGAAAAAAGAGGGGAGACATAAATTACCAATATCAGCAATAAAAGAAGGTATAGCACTACAGAACCCACAGACATTTAAAGGACGATAAGGGACTACTACAAACAGCTCTATCCACATAAATCAAACAATGAAATGGAATAACTTCAGATGAAATGGAATAATTTTTTAAATATAACATACTAAAATTCACTCAAGATTACATAGATAGCCTGAATAACCCTGTAACTATTAAAGAAATTAGATTTGTAGTTTAAAATATTCCACAATAGAAATCTCCATGTTCATGTGGTTTCATTGGTGATTTTATCAAATGTTTAAAGAATAACACCTAATCTAGGGGCTGGGGTTGTAGCTCAGCGGTAGAGCACTCACCTAGCACGTGCGAGACCCTGGGTTCGATCCTCAGCACCACATAAAAATAAATAAAATAAAGGTATTGTGTCCAATTACAACTAGAAAGCAAAATATTTTTAAAAAATAACATCTAATCTATATAATCTCTTTTAGAAAACAGAAGAAGAAACACTTCCCAAGTCATTTTAAGAGGCAGCATTGCCTTGATTCTAAAACCCCCATGAACACAGTATACAACACTTCTCAAAAAATAAGCAAATCAAATCAAATGATACATAAAAAAGTATAATACATGATGATCAAGTGGGGCTTATCCTAAGAATATACTCAATATTTGTAAATCTATTATGTAATATCTCATATTAACAGCCTAAGGAAAACTACATGACCATGTTAACTGAGGAAAAAAATATATTTTAAAAAATTCAACATCCATTCATGATTAAAAAATTTTTTAAGCAAAACAAACAAACCAAAATCTTCTCAGCTAATCTGGAATAAATGGAAACTTTTTCAACCTGATAAAGGAGAATTACAAAAAAACTGACAGTCAGTATCACAATTAATCATAAAAGTCTGAACATTTTCTTTGTCTCTGAGATTAGGAATAAAAAAAGATTTCTACTCTCTTCACTCCCTTTAAAAAAATTTGGTATAGGTAAATAAAAAGGCATATAGATTAGAAAGAAATAAAACTCTCTCTACTATAGTTTCAGATAACTTGATTGTCACACATAAAGTTCAAAGGAATATACAAAACAGCTATAGTTAGTTTAGCAAGGTTGCACTATACAAAGTCAACACATAAATATCAATTATATTTCTATATACTGACAATTAGCAAATAAAGCCAAAATTTTAAAGACACAATTTATGCTAGGTGTGCTGGCATACACCTCTAATCCCAGTGACTTGGGAGGCTGAAGCAGGATTGCCAAATTTGAGGTCAGCTCAGCAACTTAGTGAGGCCCTGTCTCAAAATAAAAAATAAAAAGGGTTGGGAATGCAGCTCAGTGGTAAAGTGCCCCTGGGTTCAATCCTCAGTATAAATAAATAAATAAACAAAACCAATTTATAATTGATCAAAAAATAAAAAATAAAAATACTTGCATATAAATCCAACATACAGTTTCTGAATACTACAGAAATACAAAAGGTCAATGAAAGAAATCAAAGACTAAATAGATGAAAAGGTAAATCATGGATTCATGGATTGCAAGATTCAAAATCAGATGTCAATTCTCCCCAAATTGATCTATAAATTTAATGCAATGCCATTTTGTAGTTACAGACAAACTGCTTCCAAAGTTTATACAGAGAGGCACAAAACAATTTTGAGTGGCCCAAACAATTTTGAAAAAGAAGAATTAAGTTAGAGGCATCATAGTACTTGATTATCTGGGGCTGGCATGAACAGGAGCTGAGCACTTAGGAGCTAAGCATGTACCCCTAGCCTTGAGAGATGGAGGTGTGGAACTGGCTTCCACTGTGGCTTGAAAGCAGGTGGACCTCACCATCGCTTAGCAAGGAATTACAGCTCCGGGAGTGGACGTCACTCAATGGGATTGGACTACACCCCCCTGAAACCTAATCACTTACCTCATTTGGGTGGAACTTTCTCAAGTGTCTTCCCCTCAATATATAGGATGGTTTCAGGCGTGCTCTGGCTCTTTTGCCAGCCTCTCTTGCCTCCCTTATAGGAACTGGGGCAGAGGACCTGTCACTGAACCCCAAGAAAAAGGTACTTTCTGTGTCTGTGTGATTTTTTAGTGCCAGCTCAATTCACCTGAGTGACCCTGAATGATTAAGTCACCTGTGGCGGTACTCAATGGTTTTTTAAATCTACAATAATCAATACAGTAGGGTATTGGAAAAGAGACATACAGATCAACAAAATAAAATACAGAATCTAGAAATAGATGCCCAGATATGACCAACTGATTTTTGACAAGGGTTTATAAGTTTTGACAATGGAGAAAAGTTAATACTTTCAACAAATGTTAGGAATCACATGACAATAAGAGATAAAATTGACATTGGACTTTACCGACCATAAAACTTTCACTTTACAAATAACACTATTAAGATAATAAAAAAGGCAAATTACATTCTAGAGGAATATATTTGCAAATCCCATATCTGACAACTGACCTATACCCAGAATATATAAATAACTCTCAAAATTCAACAGTAAGAAAACAACAGTCCAATTAGAAATAGAGAAAAGACTTCAATGGAACAGGGAAATGCCAACTAAAACCACAGTGAGATACCAATATACATATATTTGAAAGGCTAAGACTTACAAAGAAATACTGACAAGATCAACTTGAAGTCTCTTTCTCAGGGCATTAAGACCTTGCATGAACTGGTTCTCCCTACTAACCAGTATTAGTCAGCTTTCCATTACTATGACAAAATACCTGAGATAATCAAAAGGAGGAAAGGTTTATTTTGGCTCACAGTTTCAGAGGTTTCAGTCCACAGTCACCTGGTCCTGTTACTTTGGTCCCATGGTAACACAGTATATCATAGCAGGAGTACATGGTAGTAAAGGCCTGTTTTCCTCACAGCGATCAAGAAATAGAGACCAGAAAGAGCCAGAGTCCCCCCACCTCATATGTTCCAGCAATGCTGGTCATTTTCCTCTTTTTGGAACATAATAATTTCAATCTTCTTCATCATTTGCTTATTATGCTTTCCTACCTGAAATTTCCATGGCTAGCTACTTCCTGTCATCTAAGTATTTGCCCAAATGTCCTCTCTGCCTAGGTCATCAAATCTAAAGTCCTTCTGTGCCCCTGGCTCAGTCACATCACTCTGTTTCATAGGCTTCTAGCGCTTAGACCCATCCCTTATATTATTTTGCTGTTTTTTATTTCCTTACTTACCTATTATCCCTTCACCACCACAAAAGAACGTGAGCTTAGTCAGAAGAGGGGTTGTCTTTTTTTTTTTTTTTTTTTTTTTGGTACCGGAGATTGAACTCAGGGGCACTCGACCACTGAGCCACATCCCCAGCCCTATTTTGTATTTCATTTAGAGACAGGAGCTCATTAGTGAGACCTTGCCATTGCTTTGGGCCTTGGCATTGCAGAGGCTGGCTTTGAACTCCTGATCTTGTCTCAGCCTCCAGAGCTGCTGGGATTATAGGTGAGCATCACCACGCCCAGTGAGGGGTTGTCTTGTTCTCTGCATTCCCACATCTAGAACATGTCTAGCAAATAGTAGGCCCTCGAAAATATTTCTAGAATAAATGATTGAATGAATGAACTACTTGCATATTATATTAAGGAATTGGCACAGAGCTTCCAAGGCTGGCCTTTAGGAAATGAGGCCATCCCTGCCAGTATGTGGTGTGCTCTTGTTAACAGACTCAAATCACTTTTAACTTCTGAAGACTCTTCAAAAGTGTGCCTCATTTTATGCTATATGTTATTCTCAAGGCAAAGATAATCTGCTCCATGCTTTAAAAACTTAAGTGCAAGAAGATTAAGTGATTTAGGTCACACAGAAATCAGTGCCTAAGTCAGGATATAAGATAACATGAAACTCTTATTTGCAAAAGGGCTTAATCATTTCTTTAAATAGGCTTCTCCTTAAATTGGAAAGTAATACTTTCCTACCACCCACCATGAGGGTGGGGAACTGTGACTCAAAACTTGGGTGGGGTAGGATTCCAAAGCTGAAAACCAGCCAGCAAGGGGCTCAGTGTTGGAGGATGGACTTGAGAGTCTTTTAAGGCTGAAATCCCCGCACGGGCTTGCTTCTCGCCTCATGGCCGCTGCACTGGGTATGCTCTCAAGTCTTTTGGCCGCAGACCACCCCACTGGCCATCAGGAGGGTCTGCACCACATGAGACCTTGTCCCAGGACTTACGAAACTCGTGTCCTGCAGCCTCCACCTCCTCCTCTCGAGGTCCTTCCTGCTTCGGGGTCCGGGACAGGCCCTTCCAAGGTCGAGCGGCCACGCCCCTCAGATCTTCCCGAAGCCCCTTTGCTGCCGTCGCAGCCCCGAGGAGCAGCCGCCGGGCAGCGGCCCCACTGTCCGCGGCGCGCCAGGAGGGGTTCATGGCTTCCCGGGAGCCTGCTGAGCCCAGCCCGAGCCTGACCCCGGCTGCTTGCGGAGGTCCGCCAGGGCGGGAACGCTGGACCGAGTCCGCTCCCTGTTGGGGCCCTTCGCCGGCCACAAGCTCCAGGTTCTCCAGTCCTGCCCAAGACAGGGCAGGGCTGGAGAATCCGCCTCCAAGTGTGGCACGCGTGGTGCTGTGGTTTGGGTCTACCTGAAATGAAACATCCCAAGAAATCCACAGATATAATCAACTCCCCCTTTAGACTCCACTAATTCTTTGTACAATTTTGAGAAATCTCGAGGTTCCATTTATAACTAACACTACGGGAACTTCAATATCAAATAATTCCTAAATAGGCTTTCAAAATTTTCTTTGGAATAAAAAAAACATGACTTTTAATTTCTCATTTAATCATCACGCAATTATCATCTTTCTTGGTTCATTCTTTTGAAAAAATTAAATAATACAGAGACTGATCAAAGAAATTCTGATCCCCCAAATAAACTTCAAAAGTGAGAGGTAATTTGCTTTTCATTTATTTTGTATTCTTACGAATTAATGAGACCTTTCATTTCAATATAAATTTATCATTTCAATGGTCGTTTCAAACTTATTTTCCTTTCAAATTATAGTGCATCAAATTTGAAACATTAGATTCAAAACAATATTTCCTCATCATTGAAAAAAGAAAACTGTGGCAGAATATTATTGTATTCAGAACACTGCCTATAACTTCAAAGTTTCTTTTTTGAAAAAGAGTGAAATGATCTAGTCATGGTGGCACCTGACAAAAATCCCAGTTGCTTGGAGGCTGAGGCTAGGAGGATCTTCAAGTTCAAGACCAGCCTGGGCAATTTAGTGAGACCCTGCCTCAAAAGAGAACATAAAAAGAGGTGGGATTCAGCTTAGTGATAGAGTGTACCCATGAGTTGAATTGATATTCAAAAAATAAAAATTAATTAAATAGGCCTCATGTTTATAAATGGGATACTATCAAGACAATAGCAAATACACTGACTTGAATATTATACAGAAATACCAGATTGTACCAAGATGAAAAATATGTACAATATGTAAATGAAAGAATCGAACACAAAATTATATGTATATATAGTATGCTTACAATTCAATTTCTAAAAATCAGAAGAAAATATACACTATAAATAAAGAATGACAATGGAAACAGTGCCAAAAGACTACCAGTGGAAATTGAACAGCCAAGTACACAAAGATCTGAATTGTGCTATCCAAATAATTCATGGCATGCAAATTGCTTTCTAATTCTAAACCAAGCAGTTTAATTTTGCTAATACCCTCTTATCAATGACTGGAGAAAATGCATCATCATCTTTTTCTTTACGCCTTATAGAAGTACTGTGATATGAACTACTTTAGCAGAGGAGACAAAAACCCCAAGGCTATGCATTGTGTAAATTATAGCCTTGGTTGAACTTCATTTTCTTAATATTCCTGAGAGCTTGGGCTACATGAAAAGCTAGGAATTATATTGTGAATATTTCCCTTCCTGTTTCAAATAGCAAATTAGTTTCCAACCAGAAGATTAATTCTAAGTTATGCTAATTCATAAGAGATATCACCCCACGTGTCTCTGATTTCTGGCCCTACAACTCTTTCTCATTCTTGCTGCTATTTCAGTGATTCCTGCTGAAGAGCTATTCAGCTTCCATTTCTCTCTGCCTTTTTTCCCCCAACCCCACTTCTGAGTTTTTTAAAATGGTTTGGCCATTCATATGATTATGGTCTCAGATTTCAGGTTAAATGTTACTTCTTCAGAGGAGCCTTGTCTGATCACCCTATTTTAAAATATTCTAAACAGTATCCCCTGCCTTCACTCTCCATTCCCTTACACTTATCTCTTTCCTGTATTGTACTTGTCACTGAAATGATAGCCAGTATTTGCTAGTGTCTGACCCCAACTAGAAAGTAGGCTTCATGAAGGTATGATTTTTGTTAATTTTTCCCCCAACTATATCTCCAGGTGCCTAGAGTAGTACCAGGTCTGATATATATATTTGTCTGAGATTTATTTGTCAAATAAATATGAATAATTATGAATAATTTATTCAGGTAAATGGTAACCTATCAACAAAGGAAGAAGCCTACAGTAAGGAAATGTGTTCAATTTTGAAGTAAACCTTTAAGTTCAGGCCCTGTTCAAGGATTCTTTATCCTTAAAAACATCTGCCTTGATTTCTTTTTCTTCTCTCCTGTCATGATTTCTTCCTAGATTTCCACTTTATATATCCATCAAATATAGCCCTTCCTACATAGGCTGGAAACTGTCACGTGGTGACTCTTCATTCCTGTGGACAGAGACCCCTTATAATCTTTGTGTCCTACATCATCTAGGATTCAGCTACAACCACCAGGAAAACCCAAATATCTATACCTTAAACAAGGCATCTCATGCAAGTTTAGAAGCCACAGGCCTGTACTGATGTCTCTGTTCTAGAAAGTCCTCAGGAACCATACCCAACAACCCATTAGTTCATCATCCCCAGGTGCAACCCCCAGCTCAGGTATAAGAAGCATCTGCTTCCAGGTAACAGGAAAGAAACAGGAAGAAGAGGCCACAAGGATGTCACAGCTGCAACAGAATGGAAGTTCTCAGAAGTATCACTCACAGATACTTCCTTTATACCCCTGGCTAACATTCAGGTTACATGGCTGTACCTGGCCTATAGGGTTGTGAGTTGCAAGAGTATGAGATAATTTTCATTAATTCTGAAACACCCAATTTGCATATTTTAACATCTCTTTAATTGAGATATTAAAACTGCCTGGATTGAATTTGGGTTCTTCCTAAGAGGAAGTGCATTTGCTTCTGTTAGATACAAGGAACAGTATCAATCTGAGATCACTTTAAATTCCCTACTTGAGCACTTTTGCATCACACCATCTGTGTGAATCCAGACTACAAGCTTTTATGTTACTGGTTTGTAGTTAACATTCTCAGGGGGAGTCCTGCCTACCAAGGCCAAGGCCAAGGTTGAGCATGCAGGTTGCTTTGCTGCCTTTCATCATGGAGAATTTATTTCTATTTTATTCTTGTTCTGAACATACAAGCTTTGGTTTCCCATATTTATGCAGTTGTAACCTATAGAACTCACTGTCTTGGATATTATTTTAGATATTATTCTTTCTTAGTGATTTCTAAAATAGAGAATTAATGAAATACATTTGTCTCTTCTGGGTGATCCTGTGCTTAGCTAAAGTTCTCTTCCTTTTTTTTTATTTGTATTGTCACTGCCTCTCTGATCAGCTCTATTCAAAATAAGCTATTCAAAATCATTTCATTTCAAGGAATGAAACAGATTTTTTAGGAGTTAACACACAGGCTTCTTTTCTTCTGAGACAGGTTTATTTTTGGCTGTTGGTTTCTTGTAGGTGCAGCCATTTCCCCACAGGCTGCTTCTGCTTAATACTAGCAGCCTTCTTTCCTTGTTTCTTTACCACAGTTCCCTTCTCATTTCACTTGGCTGCTGCTGCTTTATCCACCTCAAGTTTGTGATTCTTGGCATGGCAAGAATGGTGTTCCAGCGCCTGGTCTTTGCTTGTGGGTTTAGTTACAACTTGATCCTCAGGTTTTTCAATGGATTCATTTTCAGGACTCTGTGGTGAATGGTCTTAATATTGTGCCCTGAGGGCTGTTTGGACCTTTGGACTTTCCAAGATTCTGCTAACGTCTGTATTGATCATGTTGTACAAAGGGAGGTTATACTTACTCTTGAGGGAAGCAGCCTTAAGCCAAGTGCCATACGGTTATGTCTAACTTCCAAAAACACTTTTGATCCAAACGCAGAAACGTCCCACATACCCACCAGGAGCAAGTTTCAAAATGTTCAGTTTGCTTATATTGAGTAGAATAATTGCAGGAATGTTTCTGAAGGCCTTGATGATAGATAGCACTGTCTGCATTACAGGTGATACAGGGCCTCCTGCGCTGAATATGGTGATGGTTTCTCATTTTGCCCTTGGCAGCTCTCACTGGCTGAGAGGCATAGAACTTCCTTAAATTATTCCAGACTTTAAGAAGAACAGCCTCCTTGATCTACTTGTAACCTTTAATTTTTTTTTTTTAATTTTTTAGGTGTAGATGGACACAACACAATGCCTTTGTTTTTATGTGGTGCTGAGGATAGAACCCCGGGTCCCGCCCATGCTAGGGGAGCGCTCTACCACTGAGTCACAATCCCAGCCCCTGTAACCTTTAATTTTATCTTCAACTACCAAAGAAAGTCCAGGAACTTCCTCAACTTGATGACCTTTAGATACAACCAGAGCTGGTAAGGCTGAGGCAGCCAAGGCAGAGGAGATGGCATATCACTCTTGTGTTCACTCTACTGTGCTGATAAAGCCGAGTTTTGGTTGGTTCAAACATGAGGCCTCCTCTGTATATGTTTCCAAAGGCACCATGGCCAGAATGGTAAGTCCTGCCTCCTCAAACTCTGGGAATTTGAGTCATAGTTCTGTCAGAACCCCAAGACTCAACACTGGTTGATGACCTGCTAGTTCACTGACAGTATAGGGCTGTCTGTTGTTTTTACACAAGTTGATGTGAACAAAGTACACAGTATCTAGCCAAATTGGAGACTTGAACACAGTAGGCAAAGTAACATTTTTGCCAGATGACTTACCTTTTTTGGAGTCCACTGATATCAGGGGTCAAGCACACACCTTGTTCTTAGGCTCAAAGTTTTCCATTTTTGGCAGATTTCAAGTTTTCTAAGATCCAAGGACAGCCGGTCTCTTTGAGAACCCATGTGTTCTAGGTTGCTTCCAGGTGCACCCTTGTGCAGCCTCAAGGTGGTCACCAGGTCCCACACAATCTGGTTCCCTCCAAAAACAGAAGCCTTTGGATCTCTGCCTCTCCTGGATTCTTCCCCTGTATATTTTGTGTCCTACACCCTCCATCCTTCCCTTCTTGCCCTGGAATCAGGAGGAAATCCAGCCAAGACTCACAGCAGGGAGAAAAGCTCTAATAATATGACAGAAAAGTAGAAACACTGAAGGGAAACCAAGATTTCTGCCCTGAATCCCTAGCTCCTAAGCAGTATGTCTGATGAATGGATTATAAAAAAAGAAAATGAAACATTGGCCAAATTGGAAGTG